AGAGAAATGTTGACCGATGAGCAAATTATAGACTCCGTAACCTCATCTACAGCTTTAAGCGATAATGAGAAAGATGACGATTTAGGTGAAACGCATTCTACTGTAGACACTAATGCTGTTTCAACCATTTCTGAAATGACAAAAAAGGTGTCAGAAACTCGGAATTTTCTACAATCACGCCAAGTTCCTAATCCTATCTGGGAGTCCTTTTGTGATCTTGAAAACTACATAAATAACATCTATTTTTGTAGCAGAAATGAACAAACAAAAATTACAGACTTTATGAAGTAGATTTCAAATTGAATTTTGTTTACCTTTTTGTGTTCTTTTTAGTCATACCTACTAACTTATGTAAAAATAACGAAATAAATACACCACGTGTTTTTGTATTATTATTCGCTTATAGCGAACTCCGGATATAACGAACCAGTTTTATTTCATTTTTCAAGTTCGTTATATCCGGACTCAACTGTATTTGAAAAAAATAATCCATAGGATCGGTTGGAGATCCATAATAGATATTCTGCCTCTGTTGCAAGTTGCAAAACAGAACGGAATAATTTATTGAAAAAAATAAAATGTCGTTAGTCCGACGACCTACAACAATCTGAAAATTTGTTAGCCGCTTAAAGTATTATTATTGATAAATCCTGAGAAATATTAAATAACAATATTGAAGTGGTTCTCAAGGTTGGATGCGCAGCCGCTCTATTTTTAGGTACTTGAACATCTTCATCTTAGTTAAGTACTGGAATTTAACCGACAGTACCATTCAACGCACATAACGTACTTGTCTACAAGCATTGATAAATTCAATCACTGCAGAGGTAGGTGATATTCACGCGAAACCCATCAAAAGTGTTTAAATCAGGTAAGAATCAATTCATTTAGATTCATTGTCGTCTATTTACTCTACCTAGACTTAGCTTAACCTTCTCGACTGTGGCCGCTATTAATTGAGCAATATTTACTGCCTGTAGGATTTATAGGGATCTTGAACAGATAGCACCATTGTCTTCCTAAAGATAACGATGTTGTTTTTATGTTCTTCGTCCAACAAGCCAGCGAGTACGAATGGAAACCGGCATTTTTTCAAACTGGTCATTGCCAAGAGATACATTGACTATCTTACAATGGGCGTGAGATTATACGAATTAATTAGAAAAAATACTATTTTTCATTGAATGTCTTACAGTAATGAATAGCGGCTAATTAACTGGGTTAAACCTTGACACGAATCGTTTCGGCTTATTATAGGTACCAATGCTTAATGATATACATAATACATAATTTTTTGCGAACTTGTTTTCGCTTATCTATGGTTATGTCATATTTTCTCAGTCGGGCACTTTAAACTAACCCGAGTAATTGCAATACACAGTAAAATATCAGCGGTAAGTGTTAAATTCATATCGACTTGAGTCGCCTTCTAATGCAGTAAAAGCAGCTTCAACCGTTCGAAGATAAAATGCGGTTGATTATATTCTAATTATAACTTTAAATTGTCATTGCCTACATAAACAGACATTTCTCCAAAATTGCAATTGTTGACTGTTGAAAAATCGAAAACATTATAATGGGGCGATAATTGGCTCTAATCTTGTTGAGCTAAAAATACAGCCCAAGTCAAGGATTTCATTTTATTTTCGCTTTCAGGAAAAACACTGAACCTCCTAAGAATCATCCGTATCTAAAAAAAGAAAAATGCCAGTTCCAAAGACAGTGAAATTGTACACCGGTGTGGAACTACCCACAGTGGGCTTGGGAACATACACCGTAAGTTTGCCATTAACAATCCTAAATTAGTTGCGTTTAAAATTGTTTTTTCGGGTTTATTTGGCTGTAGTCAACATCCACAGGCCAAGTGGAAGACGCTGTTAAAGCAGCCATAGATTCGGGCTACAGGCACATAGATTGCGCTTGGTTTTATGGCAATGAAGCCGAAATTGGAAAAGCCATCAAGGCAAAAATTAGCAGCGGCGTGGTCAAACGAGAAGATTTATTCATTACTAGCAAGGTAACTGTTAAGTGAAAACTTTGCCGTTTGCGAACAATTTGATGTTGACCTTTCTCTGACTGAATGTTTTATGGGAATTAATCACCTACCTATCATTCATTCACTAATTCTTGCGATTTACTCGTGTATTATCAGCTTTCATCAACGCTTTAGCTGTCTTCAGTTTGTTTATTTTTTTAACAGTTTGCCTAATTTTTATTCTCACGCAGCTTTGGAACAATTTTCATGCTAAAAGCGCAGTTCTACCTAAGCTGAAAGAAACTCTACAGGCATTGCAACTGGAATATTTGGACCTGTATTTGATCCATTGGCCTTTTGGATTAAAAGTAAGAAATTTTTGATTAAACTGGGTCTTTTATATTAATTTTATTTTGTTCGATTCAAGGAAGATGCTCCGAATATGCCCGAAGGAGATATTGAGAAATACTTTAGCGATGTGGATTATTTGGAAACATGGGGCGCAATGGAAGAAGTCCAGAAAATGGGGTTGACTAAATCCATTGGAGTGTCCAACTTTAACTCCGAGCAAATTACCAGGCTAATAGCTAATAGCAAAATAAAACCAGTTGTTAATCAGGTATTTCAACTGTTATCGGCTTCAGTTCTTAATAAAATCCAATACTTTAGTACTATTTTTTCTTCAGCATACTGAAATAAAATCTGAAGCAAAATCTTCAGCAGCAAATGTTGTTATAGGTGGAATGTAATCCGAACTTGAATCAGAAGAAGCTGATCAAGTTCTGCAAAGAACGCGATATAGTGATAGTCGGTTATACTCCTCTTGGCAGGAGTGATCTTGTTGGAACTCCCGGCTTTCCAGTTCCCTCTATTTTGGATGAAAAAGTGGCCAAAATCGCTCAAAAATATAAAAAAACTCCCGCTCAAGTTGTGCTAAATTATTTGGTAAGTGTTGCTCATATGAATTTTCTGCCTCTCCAGTTTCCACATGTGAATATTTCGGCAAAAATCTTAATCATCCTAACACTAAATTTTTACAAAAATCCTATAGAATTTGAGGCATTCTCTTGGTTGATGTGTTTACGGATATTAACAGGATAAATATTGGATTTTATTGCAAAATTGTTGCATTTTTCAAAAAATATCAACTGTTTTTCAGGAAATGTTTAAGCCTCCAGATTAATTCAATTAGATAGTGAATTCAAAGGGCTGAAGAAAATTATGAAAACGTGTTATTAATTGATATTGAACCATATGAAAGTTTATGATTTTTAATTTTTCAAAAAAGGCTATCTACTGTTACCAACGAATAATATGATTAAACAGTCTCTTCCTATCGAAATCTACATATTTGGCACAAAATTGATTAAAATGAAATTAATTAATTTCAGGTGGCCAATTTGGGGATAGTCGTAATTCCCAAATCTGTAACCCCATCTCGCATTAAGGAAAACATCGATATATACGACTTCGAACTGGAGGCCGAAGATGTTGCTTACTTTGATTCAATGAACCGAAACCTGAGGGTCTGCGGATTCACTGACTTCAAGAACCATAAATATTATGCATTCAATGCCGAGTTTTAAAAACGACTCGACCCAGATCCAAACTGCAGCTTTGTTATGTAAATTTATGAAATAAATCATTTATTTACAATATTAATTACGGATTTTCGACATCTACACCTGAAAGTTCAAGTCAAAAAATCATCCACATCTATCGTTCGGTTTTCGTCTAGATGAAGGCAGAGGCTCCGCATACTGTTGACTGCTTTTTAAAATGTTTAGACCCATTTTACTGTAAGAGTCTTGGTATTCTGTATTGCCTGTTCTAGGGGCAAACCACTCGTCAACCAGAGTAGCAGCTAAAACGTCAACAATATTAAACTAATGCAGATTTCAGATGTTAGTTACATACTTCTCACAAATGAAACTGGCGAACAAACGTCTATGAACGGTTTCTGAATTTCCGAGTATCTGAATCGGGTGGGGTCTCGATATCCTCTTCCAATCCCAATTGTTTCGCTCTTCACGGGAATACCAACTGGCGAGTCAATTGCGGGCATCAATTTTCTATACTGCACAAGATTTAATCCTGGAAATCAATCAAAATTAACATTATCATGATCTACTTGGGTCGTTGTCTGGTACCTCGTTTCACATAGTCGGTTTCATAAACAGTTTTCATTTTTTCGTCGTCGGTATCACAAGGATGATCTAAAATGTCGCTCACAAGAACAGCCATCTAAAAGGACGATAAGCCATGTCACCCGATGGTCGAGATTTTTCAAAAGAAATTACTCTTTTCTTGAGAATATCCAGTTCTTCGTAAAGCGCCTTTTCCTTCTCTGCCAGTTTCATATACCTGCCCATTTCGGGTTCGTACAAATGGTAGTCGCAATGACAGTATGGTTCAACCAATTTTGCCACATAACAGTTGTTTGGTTTGGTTTTTATCGGTGGTTGAGACGGACTGAAAATTTTCAAAATTTAACAGGATTGTTCTAGAAAACCTTTTATGTCCTAAAAGTTTAGGATTTTCAACCACTGGGCATGAAAACTGATCTGTGTAGTGTCGGTTGCCTATTCAAACATCGTGTAAGGCAGTAGTTTGGAATGCCAAAATGTATAGTTAAAGTTCGCGCTTCATATTTTTTTTGCAATAATAACTGACTTCATCACTGAAAGTTGATCTCCTTAATAATCGACTTTCTCCTTTTAAAATATAAAGTTTTGTAAGTAATTTGTCATCGAAAACAGTTCTGGACATATTTTCACCGAAATATTCTATAATCGACCAGGAAAGAGCAATAAT